GTCATGGCGACCAGGGCAGACATTCCTCCAGAGATAGCGCCTAAGCTACAACATTACACCCAATGAGCTGGGCCTATTCTCGTTACGGGTATCCCTCAGCCCTGAGCCATCACTCACCATCCCTGTGCAAGGGTCTCACCAGGATCAAGGCGTAAGGACGCGCTCACCAGTAAGAGTTCAGGTTCAGGCGTCAAGCGATTGATGTGAGTGAGAGCTGGTTGGCTCATGGTCATTGGACTCTTGACTGACTCGGTGGTACCTTTGAGGACAAATTGAGTGGCTATTGGCTTTCCGATTCAGGACGAACAACCATCAGTACATGTAGCGAGTTGAGCAGCGCTAAGAACAAGGAGATGAATGCAATGCAATGCTCGTTTGCCATGGTAGCTCAGTGAAAGAACAATGCGTGGACAGGAATGGGATTGGTCGACTCTATCTAAGCCTCCCAGGTTCAGACAGACCGACTTGCAATTGACGGTGCGATGGGTAGCATATTAAATTTACTATGCCCTCAGGGAGCAAGAAAATACAAGACTTTAGAAGAGGGTGCTAAAATAAACTCAGTGAGGAATCCCCTAGGCTCAGGCTAAGTTACCCAAGTCTTTTTGTCATTTAGGATCAAGGTCCTGAGTTTTCTTTCCTCCCCTGGCATACATGCTCCACGCCATGTTCATGCTTGAGCCAAGGGAGAAACTCTAGTACACAGTATCTTTATCCCAAGTAAAAACTTCGGGAATTATCCTAAACATGCAGGCCTGCTTACTGTATTTATTTTGGCATCCTGTCTTTAGTCTTAGACCATTTGAGGGTTTTTACCTATAAATTATTCCCTCGACTCCCGAATGTCCCCAGTTGGTTATGTACAAAAGGCCTCCGGCTTCTCACCCGCAGAGCTCAGCATGGGGCCCGGGCCTTCGGTCTCCCCCGTAAAGGCTCCACGAAGCATAAGGGCCCCCGGTTCCTGAAACCTGGGCGTCGAAGCTTCAGTGAATGGCTTTCTTGAAAGGCGGCGTCTCTTGTGGAGGCGCGTACCATGAGTGGCTGACGGTTGAAGATGAGCGGTTTGAACGGTCTACCGGATTAGGGAACCCAGTACTGAAAGTGGCAGAGTGCTCATTTTATTCGAGAACCAACTGTAATTACTAATGCTGGTGTCACGTTCTGGAAGGGCGGTGTCAAGCCTTGAGGACCGCTAGTTTGGGCCGATCTACTCTGTATGGATCGCCTCATTGAGATACTCGGCGAGTCGTCGTCTCGTCTCGTGTACGGATAATGCACCAAGACAAGCGAGGCAATTCAAGCGACAAGTCCGGGTAGGTTCATCACGGTTCCGAATGGTTGATGATGCTTATTAAGAAGGATTGGCTGCGTTGCCATCTGCGTGAGCATGCTGTTGATGTGGAAACGGAATGTGATGTGACTTGAAGGGAGCATCTTGAAGGCTGTGATTGTCGTTGAACAATGCACACACATAACACACCCCGCGCGTCGCACTGCATCGCATGACATTGAATGGTCTCGGGCCATTCCATCTCATTTATTACACAGTAATATGGCTGTTATTATACCTGTTCTGATTCCTTGGTAGGAAACATGGCAGTGTCAGGTATGTCAATGGGAAGCGGTGGCGTTGGCGGATGTTGTTTTGTTTTAGATTCAAAGAGACCCTTGTACCCTATGTAGAGACAACGAGAGATGACTACTACCGATTTGTTAACGTTGCAGGTATTGTAATGCCAGTTCATAAGCTTTGTCTAAATCTGCAGCTATACGAGAGTGCAAAATACAACCATCTTATTGTAAATAAAACCGTGACTAATAAGGTACTCTCTTTGTTCATTTTCTTTCATCCAAACTCCAAACTTTTAACCATTCTTGACCGTCACGTACCCTGAACTCATCGCCCAGGCTCAAGTCCCCGCTAAGAGCCCCTAGTGGATTCATCGCACGTTCCTCCCCAGGCCTTGGGCCCCAGAAGCCCAGGTTACCCCCCCACTACCTAGCGGAGGTACCTCACCGAACCATCAACCACTGGTACAGTTTATTGGAGCTGGAGCTGGAGCTGGAGCTGGAGTTGGTACTGGTGGGTGCCCTGACCGTCGGAACCACGCGCCCAGTGTCACTTGGGTCTCCCTTTACAGCCGCTCCCGCTTTCACCTCTTCTTTACTAAGGTACATACATGCTTGCTCGACTTGACTCGCCTCTCAAATCACTTTCCATCTTCTCTTTCAAACGCCTCCACGTTTCCTCATCTTTAAGGCCCTTCCTCCCTATTCTCCCTCTTCTTTTCCCACGAGGGCTGATTTTCTCTTCTTTTTCGCGTTGTCACCTCCATTTCAGCTGAGCTACCGCGACACGGCCTCTGAGAGCTGAGTTCGAGCTACCTACTCCGTACCTCACCTACACCACCACACCTCGAGCTACAACAGCTACAAAGTATAGCCTCTCCACCTACAACAAAAAGCCGTCCATATCACCTCGGATCTATCTCAAATCTTGATCCACCCCCGCCTTTCTGCCGCGCTGAATGCAATACCGCACTCTGTCGCCAGCTTGTGATTGCTTCACGCCCTATTGCTGCGCCTCTTGTCAAAAGCAACCCGAACTTGCAGCCGCCGGCAGAGCTTCGTAGAACCGCCGCTGACGATCATTACTACCGGGTCGAATAAATCCCCCAGAAATCCACGCCATTGCTCGTCGGCCAAGACTCGTTCAAGTTTCGGGCACCACATGCCACCATCCATCTTCTGACGAAACCGGTTGGTCTCAACTTCCATCCGTGCCGTGCCGTACCGTATCACATTGTATCGTATCGTATTCTGCCTCCACCCTCGATTACCAATTTCGAAATGGAGCCAGTTCCCGAGACAGAGCGTATGGAGGAGTTCCGTCCTACTCCTACACCTGCTCCCGCACCCGCATCTGCCTCTGCCTCTGCTTCTTCATCGTTGTCTGCGTCACCCTCCCTCTCTCCAGGATATCCATCGCTGCGACTTCAGAGCCCCAGCGCCTTTTCCAACCTCAGCATCGAATTGCCTCGAAAGCCGCCAAACCTGAGACGAAGCACCGACCCCAGTCCGACATCGCCAGCTTCACCATCTTGGTCTGCGACACCCTTCCTTCCGTATCGACCACGCACCACTTCTCCCCTCTCAGGCGCTCATTCTAGGTCTCGTTCTACAACAAGTCTTGCGCCCCCAATGTCTCGTACTCAATCCATGCCAGGCGTCAATGGATCAGGCCATATCCTTTTTTCACCTCAGCACCGTCCTGGAAGCCCCTCTGGATCGCCTAGCAGAGTCCGCATTCCACGAAAGCCTGCCGATGAAGCTTTCCCGCCAATTTCTCCAGTTCGAACTTCAGTTCTCGAACCTGAACAAATGCATGAGCGACGAAGTACCTCTCCCATCATGGGGGTTTCCACAAGCACCCCCGCCCGACTACGACGGCCATCTTCTCCTCTCCGAACATTTACATCTTCGAGCACTGGCTCTCTAGGCACATTTCCATCAACGCCATCCTCTTCGATATCCTCAACATCCTCTTATCGAAGCTACGATGCCCTTTCCGGAAGCTATGGCACAACTTACTCATCAGTTCCCTCCACGCCAACGTCGACCAGGTCCCGAAGTCCCAGCATCTCCAGCTTGGAAACAATTCCTGACACGCCTGATGCCGAAGAAGCAGCGCTGGAAGCTGAAAGAATTGCCCAGCTCAAGGCCGATGCAGATGCTGCAGAAGGAAATGAATCCCCCGACCTGAAAGGAAAAGATGGCCAGACGCGAGGCCGTACGATGGGTTTTGGCTCTAGAGACAAGCGAAAGCGTTGGAGTGTGTGCGGTGCTGAGCGAAGAGGAGATCTCGATCTTGAGACCATCTGGGAGGACTGATCGGCGCAGTGCCGAGGCAGAGCCAGTTGCAGATGAACGATCGAGATGAAATATCTCAAGAGGGGCCACGGCGTATGACGGACTTGACTCGAGCTAGCCTGGGACAATGCTCGATTTTACATGATTGCATCGCGGGGCGGCAGGTTATTGATGATTTTTGCGGCATAAGCATATGGTTTTTTTGTTGTTGGTTTCTTGTTAGCTTTTTACAAAGGGCACGACGGCGATTGCGTGGCCCTCTTGATACCCATTCCTGCACGTATGGACTGTTCGACAGGAAGAACCACGCAGACACACACACATACACACACACTATGATTGACACACAATGATACTACTATACCCACAGATCACGCCAGTTCAATTGGCTGTGAAGGGCACACTTGTACTTACTTTGCCATGAGACGAATCGCGTGCACTTTTTTTTATCTTGATTGGACTCGCCCAACGCGTTGTCTTACGACGTGGTCGTGCAACTTGTAAAGAGTCGAATGTGCGCGAGATGAATACATTGCCCTTTATCGAACCGACGACATATGAACAATACATTATCACTATTACTATTAACCCCACGTTCACCTTGAATTTGTCTCATGTTAAGTTGTCGAGCAATAAGGTTGTCGCTGTCGCGCTCTAGGGGCCTGATGGGCAATGGAATATTCATAAAATGCCTTTGATTCCCTGGCCTTGTCGACGAATTAATTGCTTCTTCCGCCCTTTGTCCCCATTGTCCCCATTGTCCCATCAAGATCAAGATCAAGGCTGTTTAGTTGGCGCGAACTCCCTTAAATCGATAAAGTGTCCCCGCTTCACCACCAATAAACGCCGCCCTTCTGTATTCAGCAAACATCCCTCTTTCAATATAGCACCCTTTCTGACATCAATTTGTTCAATATTCAACTTCAATATTTCTACCCTTTGACTTATACGCAACTCCCTCAGAAAAACCCTTGGGAAAATGAAGTCGTACTTAAGGATGATGGGATGCGTTCTGAAAATGAATATCTCACCACCAGACTCAGCATCACCATCACTCTCACAAGCAGCCTCACATCCTCTTGGCTACTCTCATTCTTGTCTTCAATACTCATAAAGTCTCAATTTAAAAGATGCGTCTGCCTGAAATCGTTGGTGCCGTTGGCCTTCTCGGCACGGTAGTCGAAGCTGCTCCTCGAGGTTCTTGGTTCAGTTCTGTATGAGCTCCATCACTTCCACTAGTAAGCATAATCTAACTATTCACAGTTCCAGCAGCGCCGAGTTGCTCGATCTCCCAATGGAAACGCCTACGACCCTCCCAGCTATACTCCTGTCAGCACATACACTCCTGTCAACACTTACACGGCCACCAAGAACACAACTACACCGACAACTCATTCGACAACTCTTGAACCGCGCCAATGTCCTTCCAACTACGTGTTTGTCTCAACCAAGACTGTCGATGTCACCGTCACTGTCACTGCTTCTTCCGATAGGTCTTACTACACCACTGCTGTCTGCCACGACTGCACCGAGACCTTGACCATCAGCAACACCGTCTATGTGCTTCCTAGCAAGTATCCTTCAGCCATGCCATACGGCGAGAAGAACACTGGATATCCTTATCCTGCCAACTCGAACTATGCGGCGCCTTCTCAGACCAAGAATGGCTATCCTTACATGAACTCTACTATTGGATACTCTGCCTCTAAGCCCACCGATTACCGAACTCCTGGCTACGTATCTCCTCCTGTTTACACTAAGCCGGTCTATGCCAAGCTTGTGTACTCCGACCCTACTTATGGTAACTCCACTGGCACACGGTCAGGCTATGTCCCTCCTGTGTACACCAAGCCAGCCTATTATTCGGTTCCTTCTGGTAATGCACCAGTCCCCGTGTACACTAAGCCTGTGGACACACCGACCTACTCGGCTCCTGTCTACACGAAGCCTGTAGAGACTCCCACGTATACGCCTCCTGTTTACACTAAGCCGGTCTACTCTCAGCCCAGCAACTCGTCAACCGTTGACCCTATCATCTCAACTTCCACCAGCTCTGATGATAGCTCCGTCTACACACCGCCTGTCTATACTGATCCCGCTGCCAGAAGCGAGTCTTCTGAGTACTCTACTGTTTCCGCTGCTGAGAGCACGACCACTAGCGCAGAAACCGAGACACCCGCTGAGACTACCACATCTGCCACTGCCAGCTCAGAGACCCTTCCTGTGATCCCAACCTACCCAGTATCTGAGGATCCCACCAGTACCCTGGACACAACGAACTACGAGACCGAGACTGAGAATCCCACGACGAGTGCTACTGAGACGTCCTAACCCACGCCAACTGGAACCGACTACGGGCTAGGTGCGGCTGTCAAGAATGGGCTCGGGCTCAGCGCTTGAGTTAGTAAAGATGATACTTTGATGACATAGCTCTTTTGTACAGACAGCATTTTTGGATTTGGAGTTGGTGGATTTTGTTTAATACCTAATTGGGGTTTCGGAAGAGTGTGACATAGATGCATACATGGAATGGTTAGGATACGAGACAGTGGCCAATACTGTTAATCTAGAGGGAGGGAGTATGATGGATGACACTTCTTTTATGTACTTCGCTTCTATTTATTCGAGTTAAAAGTATAAGATGTTCTGATAAAATTGGTACTCTCCCCGCATTCCCTGAAGCTCATGGCAAGGCTATAGCCATCACTCTAGTAGTAATTAGGTAAGTATATATTATCAAAGCTGCACTTGATACTGTTAAGAAGGGGGAGATGTTCTGTTCCTTCCACCCACCATCTGTATCTGTCGATCAAAGTCTGAGTTGCCGCAATTGACTGTCGTTGAACCATAGTCCTTAGTCTCCACTAGGAAGTAGAAAGAAATCTGAGAGGAGGAGACAGTTTGTTTTTGCGGATTCTTTGTGCTCTTTGCTTCTTTATGACCTGAACAGGCCTTGGGGAGCAAGAAAATGTAAGGCTTTGGAAGAGGGTGTTAAAAGAAACTTGGTAAAGATATCTTAAACTTGGACTGATTTATCTAAGCCTTTTATCATTTAGGATCAAGATCCTGAGTTCCCTTTCCTCACCTTGACCAGGTACTGCATACCTGTGCAGGCGACCTATTTTATGTACTTCGCTTCTATTTATTGGAGTTAAAAGTATGAGACGTTCTGAAGATATTTGATACTGTTACTCTTCGTCGTGATACCTTAAGATGACCATATGGCTGCGTTTCACTTCAATTACTGTTTAATCATTCACACGCCTAGAAATTGAAATCTTAACATGTAAAAAAAGTGTGTGTTGCAATTTCTCAATCTGTTATCTGTGCCTGTCTGTGATGACATGGACGAATTGTTAGAAGCGACTGGGGTAAGATAAAGCTCTCCGAACACTGTACCAAAAGGGGAGTAAACGTGGAAGACGTGGATATGTTCCGCGATGGATTCATTGCTGATCCCTTTCCACCCTTAGTGTTCTCATTCTCACTGCTTTTCTCGCATGGCGCAACTAGCCATCCGAGTCTTTCCTCTCTCATATGGAGTAAGCAATGACGCAAGGTCAGTCGCAGACCACAGAAGCCTTGGCCAACACCATCTGAGAATCGTACCTCTGTCCATCAGCGGTGCCAGTCTTGTAGACAACTGGCGAGATGAAGAAAACAACGCGACTTCTAGGTGATAGGGTCTTCGTAGAGGCTTCCGAATCCATGACATTTTGATTCCACATAGTAGCAGAATCGAGACTCTGGGATCGATCTCGCCAGTGAACTTGAAAGATTGCCTTGGAGCGCATCATTATCTCGTCAAGTTCGATTGCTGAGCTCAGAATGTCTCTTAGTTGATCAGTGACCTTCCTATCACATCTGTCTACCATGGACTGGCGAGTTGAATAGAATGGTCTCAGAAGTTTGGTTTCGGTGAGTACGAGACGTCTGAAGCCACGATCATCTCTTTCCCAAAGTTTGCCCATCATTGATGAGCCTTGAGCCAGCCATCGTGCAGCATAGGCGACGGGGTCATCGCTATTGGGAATATTAACCCCATCTCCAATACGCGCTTTCAAGGTCAGCGATGCAATGAAAAAAAGGGTTGTTGTAATTACTCACTGATAATGCGATCACGAACAGCCTTGAAAGCCCTCAACTCAGGCCCACCCCAAACAGTCCCAATGGCGTCAAACGCGTTGTCTTGAACAGTAGCCCATAGATAGCTCATGAGAATAAGCTCTCGGTAATCTTCATCTTCGAGAAATGTGTAATAATCTCTGGCGACAAATCGTAGCCGCTCCCTAGCGATGTCGTCAAGTTGCTGTTGAGGCGGATTTTGGGCAAGGTAGTGAGCCAGGCAGCGAATGTTGTAAGCGAGAGCCTTCCATTTGCCTCGAATTGAATCATCGGTTGCTTTGTCAGAGTTTGCGAGAGAACCACCGTCCAGGAGCTGGCGTAGCTGGTCTCTCTCACGAAGGGCATCCTCAAGTTTGGCGTTTACTTTGCCAAGATCTTGCTTTTGTTTATGGGTGTGCACAACAAGGTTGTTGTAGTCACCAGAGAGTTTCTGTGCGTAGTTTTTCTCCTTCTTCAGCTGAGTGCGAAGTTCTGTGACTGTCGAGGCAGTTGGAGCCTGAGCTGGCTGAGGGATAAAGCTCTTGATGCAGTTGAATACTCGATCCATCCCGTTATGGACTTCAGTCTGTACCACTTGAGCTAAAGTTGATCTTTCATTTGAAGCAACCAGACGAAAGTTGTCTAAGAATGCAGCATTGTTCTCTCGCTGAATTTTGAAGACGTCCTCCACAGTCCAGTCCTTAGGGGTATTATCAACCTGCATGGGACCTGTGTGGCATTGATGGTAGTCTTGGACTTCAGAGCCAATTGGGTTATCAGGAGAACCAGGGAAATTCGGGATGCTGCTCAAGAGAGCATCGAAGTCTTTTTCATGTTTTGTGAGAGGAGTTTTCTGGTCCATAATGTTGTTAAGAGGTCCAGACACTTCAGTTTCGAGATTAAGAGAGAATTCTGGCTTTTGGTTCGAGTCTTGAGCCTCTATAATTCGTAGCCGGTGTAGAAGTGCAAAGGAAAATCCGCGACGTGCCTTCGTAGTCAATATCTAGAATACGTAGTCGGTATAGGCCGTGCCTAGGAAAGTGGGAGGGTAGGGTATGTTCAAAAAAGAATTGCCCGAATCAATGACTAACAGTAGTATCTTGGGGGTAACCAGTAACGACTGATATAGAGATGAAGAATAAAGTTATCCTGGGGCTGAAGGACTTGATATGATCTGGTTCAAAGAGCTCTGATCATAAAAAGTGTGTCAGTGGAGGGAAGACACTTCTCAGGGGGGGGGGGGAGAAATATGCCAGGAGATGGAGTAAGAGAAAAGAAAAAAAGAGGAAAATATGAGAGCCTACAGGAGGTGTTATTATTATGATCTCAGAAACCTGGTAGCAAACACGAGAATCACCGAGTGCTTATGATTCGCATTGCAGCGGCAATGAATCACTGCCCTCAGCCCTGCTGTTAGACATCAGAAATTCGGAGAAGTGGTGGCTCTATTTATTTCTAACTCTCTAGTATTTTCGCTCTCCTCCTTCTTCATTTCATCTCCAGATTGAGCAGCTGACGGCTCATCTGATAACATATTTGCTTCACAACCTCTGATCGTAGCATCGGCCTCAACAACACAGGGCTTGAGACACCTCTCTATCACTGAGAATCACCCGAGATGACGGCTAACAAGCCAGTTGATGATTTTATCATCATTGGACTCGACTTCGGGACAACGTGAGTTCTGTCTGCTCTCCTCTCCCAAGTGTCGAGGGGCCAGTTGGAGCAACTGGCATCGCTAATGATCAAATCCTCTCTAGGTATTCGGGAATTGCTTGGGCGTATTCTAGAGAACCGGAAGAGATCGAACTTGTTACAAGCTGGGATTCTGAGTTGAACCGTTGTTCTGACGTCGAGAAAGCCCCTACTCAGTTGCTCTACGACAACAATAAAGGCACGTCCTGGGGCTACTCAATCCCCGCCAGTGAAGATGCCCTGAAGTGGTTCAAGCTTCTATTGCTCGATAATGAGGATGTTCCCATCAGTGTTTCAAGGTCCTCCCAGCTCCGTCATGCCCGGGAACTTCTGGATAAGATGAAGAAGGATCCGGTGGAGGTCATCGCTTGCTATTTGCGAAAGCTCTGGAATCATGCAATTGACTCTATTCAACGAACTGTTGGAGTTGAGCTACTGAAAAAGTCACCATTTCACGTTGTGATTACCCTGCCAGCAATCTGGCCCCCTTACGCTCAGCAGCGCATGAAGCAGGCTGCCAAAACCTCAGGTATTCTCGATGCTAGATCATGCGGTGAGACCAAACTTCGTTTCATCTCAGAGCCGGAGGCTGCAGCCCTAGCTACCATCAAGGATCTTTCGAAGAGGTCAACTATGAAGGTAAGATCCAAAGAACAATTGTCAAGAGTATGAGCTGAACATATCCAGATTGGGGATACAATGGTTATTTGTGATGCTGGAGGGGGAACCGTAGTAAGTTCGAAATGACCTGTCCTAAGCTGCCCAATATTCTAATATGCTGCAGGATTTGATCAGCTATCAGATCGAATCCATCTCGCCATTCGTGGTCAAAGAGTGTGTCAAAGGCGACGGTAAGTTCTTATAAAATACAAAAAACACAGACACCAGCTCATCTCTTAGGGGGACTCTGCGGAGGCGTTTTTCTTGATGAAAAGTTTCTGAAGCTCGTCAAACGAAAGCTCACGCCTGGGTCATGGCACAGCGTCAGCTCTGTCGAGGAGAAAAAGTTCTTGAACGAGTGGTGGGAGCATGGAATCAAGCCTCAGTTCTCTAACCAGAATAGGGACTGGGTCGTGGACTTACCTGACAGTTGTGATGCCACGAGCTCAAGCGGAAAGCTCAAACGGCGAAAGACGCTTGAGCTTAGCTCGTAAGTTATACCCGGGCCAAGTTTTTGTTTTGAACATTTCCTCATCTTCCCACAGAAGCGACATTCTGTCTGCATACACTCCCATCGTCGACAAGATTGTGGCACTTGTGCGTCAACAGACTAAGGCTGTTGAGGTAAAGCTTGGAAAGTCAGCAAAGGTAATAAAATGAAGGTAACAGGCGGAACTGTAGCAGGCTGACACAAATAGTACATCATTCTTGTCGGTGGCTTCGGTCGTAGCTCCTATCTGTACAGCAAGCTTCAGTCTGCCTTTTTTGAGAGCACAGTTCTACAGTCACGCGGGAACAAGCCGTAAGTAATTTCAAAACGTTTGTGGAAATGTTCTGACCATTGAAACTAGATGGTCAGCTATCTGTCGCGGTGCTGTAGTTCACGGCATTACAAACCACGGCCTCTCAGCAACCCTAGGTGTGACAGTAGGCGCACGGGTGGCTCGAAACAGCTATGGAGTGAGGTTCGGATGCAAGTTTGATCCCCAGAAGCATCGGCAATGTGACAAACATTGGTCGGAACAACGTCAGGAGTGGAGAGCTGGCAACCAGATGGAATGGTTTCTGCGGGAGGTAAGCAACGTGGTGTCACTTGATAGAATGTCATTCTGACTTTAGTGATAGGGCGACAATATGTTGACTAAGAAGCCAGTCCGACAGAGCTACGAACGACTGTACACTGAGAAGATTGGGCAGATCTTTGAGACGATCCACATCTCTTCTGAGTTCCCGCCACCCAAAGCTTGGGGACCGGCCGTAGAGAAACTATGCGAGATCCGCTGGACACGCAACATCAGCCTCGAATCTCTTCCAACATGGACCAACCCGCTGGGAAAAGTCTATCACAAACTCAGCTACGAAATCGAGATGACCTGCGAGGACGGGACAGTGGACTTCACCCTCTATCACGAGGGCAAACGCGTCGGTGCTCACAACGTCGATGTCCAGTTTTGTTAGGGCGGCGGGGTTCTGGGAATTCTTGATATGGAAACGTGAAGGATGGCTGGACATCCAAGAATTGCGAGTGGAGGTTTTTAGGCGCTTCGTGCAAGTTGAAACTTGCTTGCTCTAAGGTTTTAGATGAACCCAGGGTAGAATCAATCCAGAGAATTGATCTAAAACGTGTCTCAAGATTCGAAATCCTTGGAATAGCTTATACTAAGTTCACAGTATATGTAACGACCTGCGCTTTCGTTATTCCATGGCATCAATCATATCCCTTCCATGGCCACGTCTTGTTGCGCCAGTGACTCTTCAGCTTGTGGTTCCTCATCCACTTTCCCGATATCGCCATTCACTCGGTTGTTATTTCTGATGTGTCGATAAACCTTGACTGTGTTGTCCTGCCCTCCAGTCACCATCGTCTCTCCATGTACATCCACCCAGAAGCACACGCCCTTGTGGCCCTCCACTCTTTGTAAGACTGTCTTTGATACTACGTCCCACATGACGATGCTGCCGTCCTCGCTAGCAGATGCGATGAAGGGAGCACCGTCCAGAACTCCGAAACAGCCACCCACAGCGAACTTCTCGTTGATGTGGCCTTGATATGTCTTTTTGACGGTACCAGAAACATAATCCCATAGGCGAATACAGTTGTCAAGGTTGAAAGCCAGGACGAAGCGGCCGTTAGGGGAGAAGCAAACATTGGCGACAGCCGGGTTGTCTTCATGAACAAGGGTGCGTAAGCACTGGCCTGTTGATGTATCCCAAATACGACTATAAACTTGTTAGCAAAATGAACCAGCTGAATCTCCAGGAGTCCATACATCAAACCATCTGTCGAGCAACTGGCGACCAGCGTGCCATCTCGAGAAAAGTCAACCCCACTGACAGGATCACTATGTGCAGGCAAACTTCGCATCAGCCTGCCCGCTCGTACGTCCCACAGAAACACAGCTTCATCGTATGAACCACTTGCAAGGATATTGCCCTTTGGCGAGAATGCCAAACAATGAATATAGTTATGATGGCCTTTCAACGGTCCCATTTCTTGGCCGGCTACCGATTTTCGAGTTGTGGTTTTTGGCCGTCCTGTGACGCGATCCCATAAACGAATGGCTTTGTCGTCTGAACCACTTGCGATGGTATTGCTATCCGGTGTCCAAGCAAGACAGCTTACGCCTGCCATGTGTCCAACTAGTGTATCCATGTGTTCGCCTGTTGTAGCGTCCCATATCTTGACAGTAGCATCCGCTGATGCAGATGCGATGAATTTTCCATTGGGTGATATTCGAACCTGAGAGACGGGCTTGGTGTGGCCATGAAGAACAAGGCGGGCACGATAGTTGGGCTTGAAAGGTTCTGGAGGAGGAGTTGGTTCAGCGCCCCGCGCGGAGAGGGAGTCTGTTCGGGAGCGACGAAAGGATGTTTGCGAGCGTGAGCGTGAGCGTGAAGAACGGGGTGAACGTGATCGTGTTGTTAATCGAGATCGCGAGCGCGAGTGTCTACGGGAGTCTATACTAGAGAGAGACCGTGACCTCAACCGTGATCTCGATCGTGATGTGTGACGGCTTTCGTAGTAATTGTTTCCAGCACCATCTTCACCAGGACTTGGGCTGATAGTCCTGCTATTGCGGCGATTGTCTCGTATCGATAGTTGGCGAGACTGTCTAGGTGATCGGTCGTTGTCTTCGGCGTCGCGTTGCAGCGCGTAAGGAGGGGAAGAGTCGCCGCTTGTTTTGCGACGCTTATTCCGGGGCGAATCACCGGTGCGATCGTCTTCAGAGGCCATTGCAACGTGAAAATGCGGCTGATTCTTTAATGATGCTAGGTCAAGGGTGGAAGGTAGTCGTGACAAGGCTGACGAGTTTGGCGCTGGAGTGAGATGGAATGTCTGGAGGTGGGGCACGAGGCTGAACGACGTCACCCAATGAATGCACAAACAAATGTGACAAAGAACGGAACAAAGAACACAAGATTAATGCAACTAAAAAAGGGGACTAATCTTACTCGAGTCGGCGCATAAAATGAATAGTGATCAAACTTTGAAGGTCACATTGCATGAAATTGCACGTCCCAAAATTATACCGTCAGCGATTCAAGGAGTGCAATTAACTGACAAGCTGTTATTGGTCAGTTCGAAAAGCCACTCCTGAAGATCCGGAAACTACCATAATTTGGGGAAATGGGGGGGAAAGCGAATCATTTGGTTTGTGGAGTAAAGCAATCAACTTCCAACTTGGGCAGTTCTGAGGCTTTCATCTCCGGGGAACCCAATCACAGAGAGACATGTTTTCGGCAGTTGATGTTATTGAGGCAATCGATGCCCTAATTCAAGACTCAAGTTTGGGGGTAAAGTTTAGCAGTTGGGGCGCTGATAGTGGATGCTTCAGGATACCCCTATGGCCCTAGGAGTAACGAAACTTTAGACTATGGAGGAGATTGTCAAAATAAACTGATCAAGAGAGTTAAGAAACCTCTAAATTTAAGCTGACTTACCTAGGTCTTACATGAATCTTTTTTTTCTTTATCCAGATTTAAGATCTTTAGTTTCATTGGCTCCCCAGGCATGTCAGGTAGACCCTGGTTGTCCGACAGAACCTTGAGTTTTGACCCTGGCGACATAGTAAGAGATGATAACCTCGTTGGCACGGTTAGAAAGAAGCTTTCAGTATCGTCGTCTCTGAGACCGGGGCGAGAGGGCGTCCGGTAGTTCAGCCACGGCGTCCAGTCTGCGACATTCCGGTGTATTGTGTATTTTCCATTGTGCCGTGCTGAATCCAGTGCTGGAACCCCTTTATTATCATGGAGCGCAGTGTCTAGACCGGTTCAGCTGCAGCTGCTGGCGACTGTATAGGCAATAAGAGTGCTAGGATCTAAAATTTTGCATGCTATTGGAAGCGGTCAAGAGTCTCGATGTTGGGATGCATTGGTTAGCAGGTTAGATCTTGGCTTCTGTGAAAGGGGGATATTGAACCTGCAGCCACTACTTTCGGTTCAAATTTCAATTCAGGCTATTGATCGCGTGCCGCGCCGTTTACCATGGGAAAAAAAACTCCCCGTGGCGTCTCTAAAGTGTCCCCTTTTGTTTGTTTTGACTCAATCTTGGAAATAGAAGGATCTGGTCTTACAATAGTGGGCTACTCTGCCACGGCATGAATTACATTCGAACTGATTCGGGACTAATGTATTGTCGCCGCTGAGACTAGCGATTGGGGACCATCGTGGCCATTTTGCTTATTCCCAGTGTTGTCTCTGTTGAAGTCATCCCTTGTGTGTCAGTTTCGTAACCTGAGTGCAAATCCATGCCAAGCAGCCAAGTTATCAGACATTCCGCGACCGACATGGCCGTGAGACAGTTACTCATAGACTTGCCAACATTCCTGTGGCATAAGTCGACCATTCCGTATATTTCGAGCGTTTCATTCTCACGCGAAAGCTTCTTCAATATCGAAAACATCGATCTGATCGTACATAGGCGCTCTGGGCATCTCAATCTAAGCAATCTTAGGTCTTGGCCACCAGACGGGACAATTTCTGGAAACGTGCCAGTAAAGTTACCCAAACTGCTGGTGCAATTCAGCAAGAATAGTGCAAGGTGGCGTAAGTAAACCTCCGTTAGCCAAGCAAAGGGGTGTAATAAAACTTAGGGCCTCTATCTTAGGTGACAAAAGTCTTCAGATCAGCTTAGATAAATTTAGTATAGCTTTAATATAGCTTTGGTGAATCTTAGACTAAGTAATTTTGGCACCTCAATTTAACGTCAGAAGTCTTCTGGCACCCCGAGGCTTGGGGAGCTGCTATTAAGCGTTAAGCATACCGTCTACAGTGACATGGAGTGGAGGTGACGCTAATAAGGTAAGGTAACCCAAGTGCTAAAAGGTATGGTTGTCGCCAGCACTACTCCCCAGCTGTGGCTGTTTGGAGTCAACGCCGTTCTGCCAACCGTTTGACCAAGTGCGGTTCTGGCGTCTGCATTTGATTCGTTGAAAATTGCTTGATTTAATTGGATTTAGTTGACATTGTGTGTTGAGATGCTGATAGGTCGTTCAGTGGTGCTGTAAAAGATCCGGGTGATATTTTTGACTCTCTAATTTGCCCTTCAACTGGCAACAGAGTGTTGGAACTTGACTAGAGCTGCAGCTTAACTTACAGGGCTTCCACAATGTGATCTTTAGCACACACACACCTCTTAAAATCAGAGCACGTCATTCTCGTGCCTGCTGAATTGGGACTCATCGTCCATTTTCGAGGCAAAAACTTCCAGGAGTATCGCAGATTAGATGCGGCGTAGCTATCGGTTCCATTGGTGGATGGAGTCAGCACCAACAGTCAAAAGGTTCTGGCGTCAGCGCATTATCGAAGCGGAGTGGGCGAGGGTCCTTGCACAAGGGGCCAGTAGATGAGTTGACCCATATTCTTCATGGGGCTAGAAACGCTTTGGCCATGAGGGGATTATTGAGCTTGAAGCGGCTTGAGTGACTTGAAAGCATCTGAGTGTTGTGCTGGGAGTTGTGACTCGGCTATGGAACTCTCACCGAAACGATCTCGCATAAATGAATTAATCATCCTGTCTTTAGGGCATGTATGTTTGTTTCTCACGCAGAGACCTGTTGTTATTTAGCCGTGTGCTCGAGCCGAGCAGTTAAATTACTCCGTGAGCCATCGCCAACTGCAATGCCGGCAGATCGGAAATGGTGCCATAATGCCCCGTGATCGTTTCAACGGTTCAATTTCCTTTGACTTCAACGTCACAAACGATCGTCAAGCAGCACATACCAGGTAGTATCGTGGGTTTAGGTATACAACAGGCTCTTGTAGTCACTGGAGCCGTTGTGCGCCGAACTCGCCTATTTGATACCTATCAAGAGGTCCATGCCAAGCCAGCACAGAAAAAAGCAGCCCTACAAGAACCACAGCGGCTACACAGGGCCTGTAGACGATTGTTTCTTCAGCAAGTACACTCGATTGAGAGAGACGGCATAGAAACTATTTGGTGTGGCAGACCACTTAAATCTTACTGTAAGCCTATGGCAAATTGTTCGCTGATCAACACTTAACTAGACAAGCCGCATTGAGATATCAACCAGCATCAAGCTTGATGAATAATAGAGTAGAGTTTTACATAGGAGCTTATACGGAACTCTAACTCATCCGCTGAACCCTTTCGGGGACACCCCCATTCGGTAAGTTGTCCAAAGTAGCAGGCTGTGGAAACAGAGCCGTTGTCAACCTGGCTCAGAGTTTAGCTGGGGTGTTTCATCTGCAACTCTATACCGGGGCCAAGAAGTTCCATAGAATTTCTAGCAGCAGTGCACACTTAATATCATCCACAGACAGGACGCCTGTTTCGGATAGGATCTTGTCCTTGCCCTGTCAGCTTCAATTGTTTGCCCTGCTTTGCTTCCGATGTTGCAAGACGGTTTTGACGCTGACGTAAACTGTCGCACAAGAAAAAGCAGGGAAGTCCTAAACCTGCCAAGAGCTGGAATGCAAGACAACAAGTCAAGAAAGACAGCAAGCGAACGCACTGAGAAGAGTCTCGATTGCCACGCCTGCAAGCGACGATAACTAGAGACAAGAATAGCCATATCATCTCGGGGCACGGCGATCAGGCCCGGAAACCGGCTTAGCACCCCTGAGACCCTGGAGTTGGAAATCCCAGGTAATCTTGTTTGGAAGAGGTCTCGACGAGCATTGAACATGGGTCATGAGTCGGCAAAAAAGATCAGTCAGTGTCCGTCAGCGACAGGAAAGGAGTTGGAAGAGAACCAACAGGCGGTCCAATTCAATGCCAAGCAGGGGTCTCCGAATCGCCGACATGTGCGCCCCAGCCTGTAGCCAATCGACAGAACCTCACCCACTCCAGTTTAATTACATCCCATCTTTTCAGACGAATGATGACAAGGGGATGTTTGCCTACAGGAGCAGGTGCGCGGGTGCATTTGCTGCAGTACAGCAAATACAGCAATGCTGATCCCAGGTATCATCTCGGTCTCATGGTCCGATCTATTCAGGCAGTCCACAGCAGGGCCCTCTAAAGATAGGTAGGGTCCGCATACCTATTGGCGATGGAGACGGGAAGACGGAACAGACAAGACGTGGCATGGCCAGAGACATGTTAGCAGAGATTGCTCCAGATCCAGATTCGCAATCGGTCACCAAGGGGGAATAAACCACGGACATTCTGTTATGGGTGTTCATGGGACTACTCAATGGCGTATCATTATGGCAGTCCATTGGAGGATTCCCCCGACTAATTCTTGTGGTAGATGAACTGCTAACCGCGATCGGTCTGGCCCGGACTGCCTAATCCAGAGAGAGAGACCTTTGGGAGAAGGATCGTCGACATTCGCTTCCAAAGGATTTCAGTGCAGTTTCTGTGACTGGTGCGCGGGCAGTGAGAAAGGCTGTTCAGTCAGGGGTGCATAGACAAAAACTGCCAATTAGCGAACCGCATTGTCTGTGAGTCTTAAGATTCAATGCCCTGTCGTGCCGACTTTAGAGCCTGCCCCTGGACTAGGTAAGGTAGTTCCGCTAGCCGTTGAACACGCGCCTTCACCGACCAACAGTGTTTTGTGGGGAGGCCCCCAAATATTGGCTGTGCTGTGGTTGCCTTCTGTGCCCTGAATTTGTCGACGTCGTGGTAAGCTACGCTATAAGCGCCGACGCAGGAACAGCAGCCAGGTGCAGCTAAGTTCTGTAAGGCACGGGCTGGGCTGGAAGGTGTGGTGGATATCTCAGGCACACCAAGGCCATCCCAGTGGAGAGCCCAGCATGGTACCTGCACTAGCGCCCCCCTCGGCGCTCAATGGTCCCGCAGGGGTTAGCCCAACCTGGGAACTCTGGAAGATGTCTTAGGGGTACGTACCGTGAATCCCCACCCCTGTCCTGCTTCGATGGCACGCCCAGTCCCCCTCTGGCATTTATCACAAAACCCCAGCTTGATCCTCTGCTTCTTCTTGTTTTTTCTCTCTCTCTTCACCACCACCTTCATACCAGTCACTCTTTTCGGCTTTGAGCCTACCACACTCTTTTCTATACTTAATAATTTTAGGTTGCTTTACAGCTTCTTATTATCCAACCCCGTCTCTCTTTCCTTCAATACAATTACTATATACCGTAATTCCTAAATCCAGCCTTCAAAATGCAGTTCACCATCTCCGCCGCTGCCCTCATGGCCTTCGCCGCCAAGGCCCTCGCCCAGGTCGCCGACTTCGACCCCGTTCTCACTCCCACCAACTGGGAGGAGGTTTCCGCTGGCAAGACCCTCGAGATCACCTGGCAGGCCAAGCCCAAGTACTCCGGCGAGAAGATCTCCATCTCTCTGATCGGTGGTGCTACTCAGAACACCCAGGTCCCCATCAAGACCATTGCCAGTGAGTAGAGACGAAGGACGGTATGATATTCGATCAGATTCACTAACAGACCCTCTCAGCTGGCATTGACAACGACGCTGCTTCCTACAGCTGGGCCATTGACTCCACCCTCGGAGACCAGAACGTCTACGGTCTCGTCCTCAAGCTCGAGAGCAACCCCGAGGTTTTCCAGTACTCTTTCCCCTTCAAGATTGAGGGTGCCAAGAAGTCCGAGGACAAGCCCTCTTCAACCAAGAACGACTACGAGGTCCCCTCCTCCGTCGCCCCTAAGCCCACCACCAAGGCCGCTTACCCCGTCCCTGAGACCACCGTCGTTGCTGTTTCCGAGACCGTCACCGTCCCTTGCAACAACACTGCTGGCTCTCCCACCACCTTCGTCCCCGTTGTCAAGACCCACTACCCTGCTCCTCCTGCTCCCCCTGCCAACAACGGCACTGCTCCCAACCCTCCCGTCTACACCCACCCTGCTCAGCCTCCTGTTGTTCCTACTCAGCCCGCTGCTCAGCCTCCTGTCTACGGCCAGCCCACCCCTACTCCCGTCCCCGTCTCTGGTGCTGCCCGCTTCGGCGCTCCCATTGCCGTTGTTGCTGGTCTCGTCATGGCCGCTTTCGCTCTGTAAGCGAGGCCGCGCACCAATTTAATCTTTGGTTCCTGCGTGGCGTCATGACTTCATGACTGCATTTTAGAGGGTTTCTCGTTTCTTCAGGTATGGAGCAGTCTGGGTATATCAGGCCTTTGTTGCGCACATACGTTGCTTCTTTTGTTGGTATCTACGAGTTGGAAGGTATTCTGGATTGTTAATGTATTGAGGAAAAACTATAAAACCCACTTGGGTTATTTGTCTTGATCAAGTTCCCCTGATGTAGCTGCCATGTGTTCCTTCGCCGCTACGTCTAATAGACATATGACCCAACTTTTGTTTTCCCGAGAGATTCCTGTCGACTAGTGTTATTGCTATAATACCCATTTCTTTTACTACTAAACTGTTCTTTGCGTTCAACTGTGATGAGTGATGTAGTCCGTAGTTCACTCGTATTGACAAGAAGATTTTCGTAGGATGAAACTACCTAGACCTGACCCTGGTTGCATTTGCATTTTAGGGTGGTACTTGGATAATCAAATCTACATTGCATGCAGATCGGGCCCTTTGGTGTAGAGCTAACAGGTCATCTGTTTATTCTTCTCTGTTTTGGACTTGCTTATCTACATGTCCATGTCCTTGTCATGCCGTGTTCCCTTCTCATCTTGCAAGAAAGTTGAGACGAGTTGACCCATTACCTAGTTCCCTGACGTCGTCTCGTCTCAATCATATGTGATTTATGTACACGCCCAGCTATTAACGAGGCCCTACAGCTGACAGGAATGTTTAGGCATTGTAAAGCCGTCAATGTCCGTTTCAACCGTTACCGGGAGTGGCGGCCTCGGCATGAGCTTGAAGCCTCATACCACCGGTCTCGGACTGGAATGCAGATGCTGTGAGAGGGTAACTGAAGATGGGTTCATGGTGATTATTTTGTTGTTAAGCCTCCCTGTTGATCAAATCCTTGGGATTGGACCCTTGCTGGGAATTTGTGCAAGGGATAACTACGGGTTTGTTGTCAACATAAAAGGCCATTTGATGTTATTTCCCACTTCCAAGCATGACAAGACAATTCAATCGTATGAGAATCACGGCAATGGAAACCTATTTATAAGAAACACGTGCCAAGTCTCGCTGTCAAGTTGATCCAGTAACAGCGACATGTAAAAATTCGGCGTGTAGTTGATTGCGTACGCAGGTCTCATATTCGTGTCCCGTCTCACAGCTTCTCAATGGAGAGACATAAAAAAGCCCGTTTTCCGCCCTGTGCAACTGTAGCGCGCCTCTTGTCTCTCTGTCAAACGGGCGCGGCGTTTGTGGCTTCTGATCGACAGGACCATCAAATGTTTCGATCGGGCACGTCATTTAGTCTTAGTCAAAGGGGAGGTCAATTGACCAGCGGCTGTCAAATGAGGGTCACAGGTGATACAAAGACCATCATAATGATCATGATGAATGACGGTGTATAGCTTGGTGAGAATAATGGGAGGCTGAGCTCATTGAATATGTGCCACTTCGCTCTAAGCATGACAAGAATCACGTCGAAAACACACTACTTGGAAGAAACTTGTGTAAATATAATCCAGCAATATTCATGAAATAAATCTCGCATCAAGCCTGATGCGGCGGGATATCCTAGCTGTTCCATACCAATTCCTTCTATCCCAACGACAGTTTAACCATTCCCAGATCGTGACCAATTCCCAGTACGCGCCCGCTCGCCGTTCAAACCAGTTAACAAGCTCATAAAACACTCGTATATCCCATTCGTATTTTGCACTTTTCCAATGCTGCATCTCTGCACTTAATGGCCACCAATCTGGCCCTTGGGCAGAGGTGGGATCCAGCAAACCGCCAAGTTCAACGCAATGGTAATAGTGCCAATGACCCAGAGCCCCATGGCGTAGTCATTACCGCCGTGCATGAAGCGGAAGACAACAGCAAACATGACACCACCAATGTTACCACCACCACCGGTCAGGCCTGAGAGAATACCGTTGGCAGAGGGGTGAACATGAGGTACAAGAGCAAAGTTGGCACCGTTACCAGCCTCGATGAAGATGGCCATGACCACAATGAGGCCAACCAAAGTACCAATATCACCACCATTAGCTTCAGAGGGGTTGACCTTTCCGATGATAATGAGAAGAGCTCCAGTCAGCACACCGCAAGCGACGATCCAGGCCTTCTTGAGCCAGAGGTTGCGTCCGCACTTGCTGTAGATGATGTCGGCAATAACTCCACCAAGAGGTCGGTTGATGAAGTTGAGGAATCCAAAGATAGCGGCGTAGTTGCTGGCCTTGGTCTGGTCGAGGTGGGGGAAGTTCTTCTTGAAGTAGGAGCTCAGGATGGCGTTGATAGCAAGCTCGCCACCGAAGGAGCATGCATAGGTCGCCACGTGGAAGATGGTCTGGGGAGAGTAGCAGATAGGGAGGGCTTCACGAAGAGTTGGCTTGACAATGACCTCGCCTCGAGCGAACTCTATGGCCTCGTTGCGCGAGATAGGGTGCTCGTGGTCGCCAACCTTGACATCCCTCTCCTCACCGGGGTTCTTCTCCTCATCCGAACCGCACCGGTCAGGTGTACCGGTGGGGGTAACGTCACCGGAGCTAGACATTCCATGAGCCTCCATGTTCTTTCGGACGAGCATAGCCTGGTCGTCCCACGATCCCACAGGGCTGTCGGGGCAAAGGAATAGCATTCCAAGACCGCAGACGATCAGGCAGATCAAGGGGACAATAAAGGTAACCCTCCATGCCTTAGAAGGGGTCATGCCCTGGTGAGCTACTAGTGAGTCGAAGACGGCAGGCATGATGAAGTAAGTGCTATGCAGGAAGTTAGACTCTTTCTTTGGCAATTCTTACATATCAAAAGGCTTTCAGTGTCATGAGAGGATGTTCACTTACATTCCGCCACCTGCATTGCCCCAACCACCAGCAAGGGCATTGGCAGTGCCGACAACGTTCTTATCAAAGAAACCAGTGCACCAAACCTGGCAAGGCACAAAAGTTGCACCAAGAATGCCAATGAAGAATCGAGAGATATATAAACCCGTGGCGCTGTTGACAAGCGGTGCGAGGCCAATGGGAAAGCAGCCGAGGAGAATCAGGGAGGCAAATACACGTCGAGGCCCGTACAGATCACAAAGAGGGCCGGTCAAGAATCGAAGGAAGAAAGTAGCGGATAGAGATACGATGTTCGAGTTTGCGATTTGAGCCGGTGTAAGATGAAGATCTTGTTTGATAGTGACAGTCAACAGGGGTGGAAAGGTGTACCTGAAATCTCAGTCAGATTATCACATCACCAACATTTGGATTTTTGAGACTCACCATGCCCAGAAAGCAAGCATGAAACCGAGCCATGAGAAAGAGAATACTCGACCATAGATGTTGATAGGGTTGAGCATAGGCACACTTCGTGCTTTTCGGCTGATGGGGTTGACCTCAGGGGCCTTCCACAGGTGGGCGATTTGAAAACCCATCTTGAACAAGCTGATCGATGAGATTGAGAAATGTCAAGACAACTGATTTAACTCTCTTGAGAACGGATGAAAGAATTTGTGAGAGCCAAGAGGCTTCCCTTTGTCTCTGAGTTGCTTGTCGATGTTGAGCTTGGTGAATATCTTTTTTTGGAAATGGACAATGCTTAGAAGATATATAGAATGAGAATATCGTATAATTCACGACCCCAGATACACAGGAATCTCGAGAAATGTATCTCCGGATTTCCTAGATCTTTTTTGTGGGAATTGGAGTCGATAAGAGGTCTATCTGGCTTTGCTGTCTCAATGAGAGTGTGGTGAGTGAACAAGCCAGTGATAATCCGGAGGCCCGGAGATGCTTGAACCAGATTTCTGCAAACGATTTCTCGTTAATCCGATAAGGACTGGGCTGATGACGGGGGCTAAAAGCGGCCCGTTGAAATGCAGTGTTACAGAGTCTCAGTGGCCGATAAGTTGATAACGTGGTAGCCTCCCAACGGTAACGAACACTTGCTCTGCGATTATATATTCGGAGGTTCTTTATGTGAAGTATCCGAGAAATATTTTGGTGGTTTTTAGGAAAACATGCCATGGGCCCCTGACCGCTCCTGGATAATAATAACCTTAAGTGTCGAGGCGTAATCAGTCAAGCGAGCGAGAAAGGGCAGCCAATTTTCGGAACTGAATTAACCGGCAGAGATAACGATTCAGACGAATGGTAGGAACTGGTTTGCATGTGGCTTTTTTGACTTGGGGTTCCATGTCCTGTCTCAAAGAATGCAGGTCGGCAGACAAGACGCGTCCTCGCGTGGGCATGGCATGGCATGGCGAGATAAGGCCTGCTGCAGTATCATCATCACCAGGCGTTCAGAGTTCAGACTGGCGGCCATGTACCGAAGCTACTACGACGTACTAGCCTGGAGAGCTCCTAGCTGCAAGCCAAGCTGCTCACCTACGATAAGCTGGTCGTCCGTGGTCAAATATCCAACATGCCATTGGTCAGGGGTGCCAGGGGTGCCAGGTGTGACGGGCTGCAGTAGGGCGATCAGACAAGAGCCGCGATAAGGGACAAGGCTGCTGCGATCCCCGAGCCGCTGTAGGATGGCTTTTGTCCAGGCCCCAGGGGCATTGACTAGCAAGCACCCAGTCGGTTGGGAGATAAGGCCGTGGTGGTGTTTGGCGCGTTGAAATGTGAATCTCCGCGGAGCAAAAGGGTGGCGGGGTAGCGCCATATATATAGCATATAGATTGGAGTCTTGGCGATAAAGGGAGAACAGGCTCTGGAACCAACGGAGATAGGAAAATGGTTCGAACTCGGAAATGCCTGATTCCTGGGCCAAAACTCAAAGGATCGTACCAGATGCGGCAAGGCGCTAGGGAATTATCCTATCTTTTCGCGGGCGTTTTGCTGCGGTGGTGTCGTGTCAAGATTTGGGGGACTGGACAGTCCAACACCAGGGATTGTTCACGAGAAATGACCTTTCGAAGGCTTTTGAATGGCTCAGAAGACTTTTTAATCTCCCTGAATCTTCATACTGTAGATAGGTAGACTGTTCCATGGGCCCCATCGCTGATAACGGGATATAATAATTGGCGATCAACAATACCGTGTTTCTCAATCACTGCAAGAACCTTGAAAAAGCATATAAGCACTTGCTTCTGCACCCGTTCACCAGTTTCTCTAAATATCTGTGGAATGCTCAGCGCAGTACAAAAAGGCCTCGAATTTCCCAAACCTCGAGGAACTCAGCGACTATCGAAAGCCATACAGCCACCAGGCGTCTCTGCGCGACCACTAAAAGCGCTGGAAAGCGATATTGGGTTCAGGGATCTGAGGCTTGGAACATTCTGTGCCGTCTGCTTGGACGTCCAAAAGCAAACACATATCTCGGCGGGTTTCTGCCGTCAATTCTTGCTCTTTCTTTTTCTTCTCTTTTCTGGAAGCAATGAATTTGAGGCTGTCAGCGTTAGCACGGCGATAATTGGTTCCTATTGCTGAAGACGTCGAGGTTGTAAGTGGAACTCCCTGAGCGTTTAAACAAGCGCCGAAATCGGCAGAGGCAGAAGCTAGAATCTTCAACTCGAATTTTGAATAATTACTTAGTTTCCGTGCCATATTTCCGTTGGATGTCAATGCTGCACGTTTCACTCTGTGTCTCGACTGAGGCTTAGTAGTCTTTCGATCGGTTATATTCTTTGACTATCGAGATGACCTCGAAAATCTTGAATCTCTAGACCATTCCTCTGTAATTCTCACTGCTGGAACACTACTCCGCTAAGCCTTATACAGTAAGAGGGGCACTGTAAATGCTCGACTCTGACTGGTTGGCAGAAGGGTCTGATTTTTTTTGCGCAAACATTTTTCCTTCAAGATGCCCCTCCATCGTCACTCGGAGTTTTGTTTTCTTTGGTGGGGGGACAATTGCTTGTGATTAATTTGTTCTTCTTTCTCCTCAAACTTCCAGCTTCTTTCTGATCAAGCTTGAATAAACCCATTTTCCTTAAGGTATGTGACCTTTCTGGAATGTCTTGGGCACTTCAATCACGTGCCCAAGGCTCCTGTGACGGCATCGTGCTTCTTCCCCCCCTCACCCCAAAAAATTGCTGGTAGTACGGCTCATAGCCAGATTACTGTGGGGATCTTCTCGGTGTGTTTGTTCACCTTTGGAAGACTTCGCATGAGAAGAGAACGGGAGAGAAGATACAAGATTGAAAAGCAATACATGTGACTGACTATGAGATCTCAAATAGCAACCTGCTTCCGCAGTCTGGGAACCTTTGCAATGGCTACCTCAACTGTCCCCAAGACCTGCAAGGTCATCACTGCTGAGACTATCGCCAAGGGTTACCTGGGTGAGGTCAAGGACACACTGGCCAAGATCCAAGGCGAGAACCCTTGCACTCCCACACTGGCTGCTTTCCTCGCCAACGGTGATCCCGCTGCCGTAAAGTACGCTGAGTGGTCCAAGAAGACTTGTGAAGAGAAGTGAGATATTCCTCTGCGTGGCTTGAATATCGCCCAGTCTATCGGGTGATGCTTGCCCCTCGACCTGGCGCTAATGCAAAACATAGCGGATTCAACTTTGACCTCCGAACTGTGGACAAGGAGCTTCTCGAGGAGGAGATCATGAAGGCTAACGAAGACGACGATGTCGACGGCATGATTGTCTACTACCCTATCTTCCCCAACAACCCTTCTCACGACAAGTACATCCAGGAGTCGGTTGACCTTGGAAAGGACGTTGAGGGTCTTCGACACAAGCACATCCACAACATGTACCACAACATTCGCTTCATTGACCCTCCTGAGAACCGCAAGAAGTCCATCCTTCCTTGCACTCCTCTCGCTGTTGTCAAGATCCTTGAGTACTTGCAGATCTACAATCCCATCCTGGCTTCCGGAAACCGACTTTTCGGAAAGACTATCACTGTCATCAACAGATCCGAGGTTAACGGCCGACCTCTTGCTGCCCTCCTCGCCAACGATGGCGCCACCGTTTACTCCGTCGACGTCACTGGTGTCCAGATTTTCACCCGAGGAGAGGGCATCAAGAAAGCCCGCCACCAGGTCGAGGACAAGGAGGGTTGGAAGCTCGAGGACTGCCTTCCCCTCAGTGACGTTGTCATCGGAGGAGTTCCCGTCGAGTCTTTCAAGGTACCCACCGAGCTCATCCGCGATGGTGCTGTCTGCATCAACTTCTCCTCGTACAGAAACTTTGATGGTCCCGCCATCAAGGAGAAGGCCTCCATCTACGTGCCATCCGTCGGCAAGGTTACCATTGCTATCCTCTTGAGAAACTTGGTTGTAAGTACCCTCCACCATATGACAAAGTTTGTGGCACTGACCAGTCAGCGCCTCATTGCCAACCGGCCCTCCAAAGATGAGTCGCAGAAGAGCGTCGAGGCCCGAGCTGAGGCTTTCGCTGACGACTAAGTGCTTTCACACGCAAAAGAAAAGACGTTTGGAAAGAAGGTTATGATTGCTTTGAACTAGACTACGGAAAACGAAATAGGACGGGGCTGATGGTCCTGTAAAAGGAAATGCATTTTATAGGAGTTGTCATAGATGGGATATATCAAAAAGCTGGGATGACGGCATGATTGGAAAAACATGTTCAACATTAACCCTCGCGTGAATCTTGTGAGTGCGTGTGGCGTTGTATTCACGAACCAGTAGTTAAAACAATAAAAGATAGGTAGCTGATTGTTTTACGGTTCATCCTATGATCTATTTTTGGTATTTCTGTGTTATTACCTGGGCAATGTAAGTTGTCACTCATCTGCATATCCTTCCGGGGGCGTCGATTATTGAAGAAGTGCAGCTTTGGGCGGCGCCATGGTCTTTGGTATTGATATCGAGAAATAGTTGGTCCATCATTTCGTAACACATTAGGGAGTACGACATCACTGCATCTACACAGATTCCCCATTGACTCAGCTTGGGGGTAATATCGCTCTAAAAGACTGATTCTTATTGCTTTTCTTCCTATTGACTAGAGTACTTGGTGTTTGTTTTATCGGCCTGCTATCATGAATGAAACAGGTGGCTTTTCATCCTGGGGTACGGAGTAGCAAAGTTTAATTAAGATGTTCGCTAAATATTCTAGAAACTTTCCTAATTAGGCATATCACAGCTGAAGCGGTGGGTTAAGCTGGCGCCCCTATCTTCAGTAAGTCCTTGCGTCTTCCAGGTTTCTTGATCCTTAATCCCGGTCTATAACGAGAATGGAAATTACTTGGTGCAACATATTGATCTACTTAGTTTATCCATAGTACCGGAGTATACAACCTAATTGGAGGATAGGCCACATATCGTTATGTACTATTGCAGGTATTCTCGTATCCCTTTCTTTTCAGGAGGACAGCGTGCAGAGGTAGGTAAGGTAGTTGTGTCTTGTGTCTGGCCATATGGTGTTTAGACTTTCACGGCAGATCTCCGTACTACGCGAAGCCTTTGAACGTTTTATTGTTCATTGTTGGTCTCTTCACTACCCGCGGCGTCGCGAACCATTGTTTCAATCTCTGGTTTACTGCATTTTGGTAAGCACCAATCAAAGTCTCAGGATGGGACTAGAGCAAAACTAAACGCCCCAACAACCAGCAAAACAAGGCGGGCTCCCCCGTATTTCCCGTTTTGCCCAACGGCCTAGTGGTCATTTTTTTCGGGTCAGTCCCTTGATTTAGCAGCGGTTCACTGCATCTAAAACTGGGCGCCGACGCCAAAGACTGAAGAGTGCATTCCAAGGTTTTGTTCGTCATTGCTGAGGTGATGATGAATTGCGCAATTGAGTTTCTGTTGATCACCTGAAGTCAGCAGCCTCTTCATAAAGTCCTCATGAACATGCATCATCGTCCTAAATGTTTAATGATTCTGTTATTGCTTTGATATTATAAGCATCCATCCATTGTTAAACTGTGGAGTTCATAGAAGTAAGTTCTTTTGAGAGGTCCGGGCATCTGCAGGTTCAATTAAAAGGGTACGTACCTCACTCGATTGCGGTTCGTTCAATTAATGGACGGAACCCCAACATCCATCACCACCTATCAGTCGCTCCTTCCGTCCATCCACTGCATTGCTTTTTTCCACATCCCAACTTTTGGATGCTCTCCTCACTCATTCCTCATGCCTAATTAGGTTTCTGGCTGACTGCGCCCTTTGCGAATAGAACCTTGTTCTTCGCTGTGCTCGGCTCTACATACTAAATCAACGACACGCTCATTCATTCATTCATCCGTTCGTTCATTCGCTCGCTCCTTACTCGCTCGCCTACGTCTTTTCTTTGTCTGATCGGCATCTCTACCTGGTTTTTTGCGCCACGCTACGCTTCTTTTCGACTGGCAAACTCTCAGCCCTCGAGACATTGTCTCTAATTCTGCCGAATCGCGGACTGCTCACACTCACATAAACAAGAAACACGGCAAAGCCTCCTACAAGCCCAGTCGCGTGCGCAACCGAGCTGAACCCGATACGTAAGGGCCTGTTTAAGTACTGTGTCCCAAAATCCAGCCGTCAGCTTCTCGGGCGCGCTTCGAGACGAGACAGAACACTGCCGACCGAACATTCTACATACCGAGTAACTCGACTACCTCACCTCTGGCATCAGCCAACCCGGTATAAAAATCATGGCAGCGCAGACCTTCCCCAACTATAGTCGCGATGTCCGCCATGGCAAGTCTGGCTCTGGTTCTTCACTGAACTACGGGCCAGTCCCTGGTTCACCGACACTCACGAACCCCGACATGATCTTGCCCGACTACGATTGCGATGTTTCCCTTGATGAGCGTTCACAGTCACCCATAAGGATGTGGAATAATGTTCAGAGCAGTGACATGCGATTCCACCTCCCTTCTTCGCAAAACCAATTCATCGCTGGACCAATTACCCCCTCAACGCCCATCATATATGGAAATGGAACTATGCTATCAGACATTGGCGAGGTGACAGAAGTCGAAAGCGTGGTAGGAAAAGGTGGACGCCGCGGCTCGGCGCATTTGTCCGTTTACAGCAATGACGATCATGTATTGGGCTCATCCCCAACAATGGGGATAACCCGCATCAAGTCACGATCTCAAATTCTGCAGCGGGAGAGGAAATCTTCTATCGACTCCAACAGTACAATTACTTCGCAAGGCCGGGCTGCGCCTTTCGGGGATTTTGACGATTCTGTCAGCGTTGACGACCTCAACTTTCAGGGTGACGATGAGGAGAGCATGGCATCTTCATATGTGGAGGGCACAGCTGTACGGGAACCCAAGATTCCGCGCATAGCTCGTACTCAGGAGGCTACCGAGCAGCGCTATTCGACCAGTTCTCTTAGTGATAGGGCAGAACAGATTCTGGCAAATGCGAAGCAACGGTTAACGGTGGGCTTCACATTGTCCGGCTAAATAATGAGTGCGCAATGCTAACAAAATTGCAGACGATGGAGGGCAACCTGTCAAGGGCAAGAAGCTCTTTATTTACTCCGATGTCCGACGGGTCAACCCCTTCTCCGCCAATCGTTCGACCTGCAACGTCCTTAAGAGAGTCTACCATCCCTCTGAGTTCGAGTCAAGGGCACTCTAGAAATCTAAGCGAAACTAGTTCGCAAAACGGCCTTGCCAGCCCAGGCTTCCCGCAACGCTCTGCTAGCGCCTTGGGTGCTGCTGGAGGTTATCGGCAGCCATTGACTTCATCTAGAAGTGCCGATGCTCTCGGGATTGGATACGGCGCCACCTCACACAGGAGTCCCACGACCCTTGATCCCATGCTGGAAACTTTGAGTGAAGATGAAGGCGGTGCAAATGGAGACAGCCGACGCAGCTCTCATCTCTATAATCAGTTAAGCCCCACGTTCGGTTCCATGACAGATACAGATATGCCTCGGTCCGCATCTGTAGCTCAGGTTCGTGACTTGAAGCATCAGATGAAGGATCTGAGAGGAAAGATTTCCAGTCTCAAGGAGCAAGCACGGGCTGACAGCTTGAAACGCCGTAGTCTGCAGAGCCTCAGGACACCCAGCCCGTTTACTCACGCGAGGTGGGATCAAGGACTTCCAGAGTCTCGAACATCACAAGAGACTACTCCGGAAACTCCCGCCTGGCAAGCACCCTGGAACCAGGGGTCGCCTAAGGAGAAAGTAAATGGTCAAATATCGCCTAAGGAGGGCTCGAAGGAACCCTCTGAAGAATCAGCGAAAACGTTGGATGCTGGAGCTGTACATGGCCCTCGCACTTCAGACGCACCGGACGTAGTTGTGGCTCAAGAGCAGAGCGGCTCGCCTCAATTTGAAGCTGAACCGGATCTTGGAGATGACATTCAAGTGCAAACGCAAGTGCAAGAAAATGACGACATGAATGATGATGGCGAAACGTGGGAAGGAGATCTGGAACAAGAGGAGGACGATTTTAAGCGGGAGGGAAATGGTTACGGACTACAGAATGGAGAGTACAACGACGACGCCGAGGATGACGATGACGACGAGTTTGTGGATTTTGAGAGCGAGAGTGGCGAGTCATCATATCATGATGCCTTTCAAACCCCCGTGTCTCACGAGGATCGTGAGGATGCCTTCGATTACGAGCACTTTTTTCTCCACTCAGCAATGGGAACAATGAGCCAGCATCGACGAGAGAGCTGGAGCAGTGTGAGCTCTGGGGATTCTGTTGAGACAACTCGCGGCCCCATTGTTGCCCCCACTTCTGCACCCGACTCTGATTCTGATCACGAAAGGAGGCCGAGCGTTGACACTATGTCGTCCTTTAACAGTTTTGCCACAGCCAACGAAGGCCGTTTGAGTCGTAACTCGGAATTTGAGGATGCTGCAGAGAGTATCGTCGTCATGCCCGCAGATTCGGACGTGCCCCCGAGCTCGAAACGCGCAACATTTGGTAACTTCAAATTCCCTCGATCAGGAGCCCCTTCGAGAAACGGCTCTGTCGATTATCACCAAAGTCATCCCCGGCGCAACACCGTGGTTCGTCGACCCAGTAGCAGCGCAGCTACCTACGCACGCCATCGGCCTTCGATGTCATCTTTCGGATCGACAGGAACAAACCGAAGCTTCCCTCTCGTAGACAAGTCTAAGGGAACCAACGGGATCTTGACGCCGACAGGTACCCCCGGAGGATCGCCCGACTCGGAGCTCAGGCAGATATCTGAAAGTCTCCTTAATGAAGCAGCCGGGTTGGGCGGTATTGAAGGTGGACAAAGGAATGGCAATACTTCCGCTGTACAGGGGCTTGACAAAGAAAGTCAGATCTTGGTCGAGAGACTTGTGGCTAGTCTTGGGAAGTGTGTCCTAGGATTGACGGAGTCATCAAGAGCTGGTACAGAGGCACGTATGTACCGCAGGAGAATCGATGCTGCGCGACGCATTCTTGAGGGGCTCGAAGAGTGAGTATAGTTGCCCGAGTACTTCTTTATTTCCAAGAGGTAGTATTTTTCTTGCATGGCGCTTTACATGGAGGTGGATAGGGATATTATCACACATGATGATGCTCTGGTTTTGAGCAGACGGAGTTGAGGCCTGTCTTGGATGAGACCAGGTTATTTTCGATACCCTTCAAGTCTAGCGGTTTGCTTCCTTATTTATTTTTAAACTCATGACCTTTACAGGACTTTTTTATAGCTTCAATCACGACATATTTCAACTATCGATTCATGGCACTAACACGGTCTGTGACATACTCGCGTGCTGTTTGCGAATGTTGGTCCGTGCTGTGATCTTGGTCCTTTACGGATAGACCCTTACTAATTAAGGTAGTGAAGATTGCACCATTTTGCATGTGATAGACTCAGATAGGTTCATGAAATGGTGGGAAAGGCAGTGAATGTGATCGAGCAGGTCACAGGCTATTGATTGCTATGTGATGGTTAATATATATCCATTTCATTCGCTGAGGCCATACTGTTATACCGTGGTACTCGTCGTCGTATCAGCGCCTTGCAACCGTCTCTTAACACTCATGCTATATTCCAGAGCACAACTATCCTACTCGACATGAGATAAACTCAAGTCACCCTGTAGAGGGTAGTCCGATAAAAACTCGCAGTGCAGCAATATTCGATTTAGAACTCGAGTAGATCCCAGGCCACTCTATACAACAAGTCACGTCCCAGGAAACAAAGGGCCAAGAAGTACCTAGTTGATGCTTACCTGAGCTAAGTACCTATCTTAGACCGCAACTTTCCCTTCACATCTACCCTGGACGCTCGCACAGAAAAGCCACGAAACAACATTTCCCCCACCAGCGTCAACAAACTCAAACTCAAACCTTACACCGACAAGATTCCCATCACAAATTATCGCCGACATGCCCTCCGTAGAACCTCCAACGCTGGCAACGCACCTCCTTACAGCGCTGCTCCCCCCAGAGCTCGCCGATTCTATCCAAAAGCACATCCTGCACCCACGCTCGCCTGTCCAAATCATCGCGCGAAACGTCCTCGATCAAGCGCAGAGTCTTCTCGACACGGCTGCGCCTCTTCTCGAGCCGATATTTGATCGCGTCATGATCTTGCTAGCAGAAAACCAAGGCCTCGTCGGTGTGATTGCATCGCTGGTTGTACTTGCTACTGTTGTAATAATTCTCAATTGGATTCGCCGTCTGCTCATGTGGTGGACGCGCATGGCTATGCGCATCGCGACTTGGGCTTTTCTCCTTGCTCTTGCAGCTTGGATCTGGGAGCGTGGAGTCTTTGAGAGTGCAAGGGATATGGCTGTCATGGGCGGCAAGATCGTGGGATACCTGGCCGTCATCAAGGATGTTTGGCTGCAGGAGTATGATCGCTACGAGGCGCAACAGGGCATGGCTGGGACCAGAGGCACGGCTTCCGGACGACGATCGAGATAAGAAGCGTCCATACAGAAAAAATATATGCGAACGGCGAATATGCAGCAATGGCTGTTTTGCATACGACCCGACACATTTTGAATACCCCCGGAAAACGGAACATCAAGGAAAGCACCAAAAAACAGAGCATGGGTATATCATGGCCATACAACATAACTCATCCATCAGCATCAATCTTATGATTTATCACGAAAGAGGTGGAAGGGGGCAGGTTAGGAAAAAGAGCGAGACTGTGATACATCACGTCCAAGCTCAATTATATCTCAGACCATGAGAAGCAATCAGTAACGCCGGCGCTATGCAATACTACTATCAAGATACCACAGATTCCCCTTTCTCAGGTTCTCCATCTGCCATTATATTCACACTAGTCATCATGATCCTCGTATTCCTCATCATGGGGCTCTTTGGGATCCTGAGCTTCGTGGAACTGTATGCAGTCATCAATGTAGCTCAGAATAGCACCAACGCTATCCTCGTTGGTCACGTCTAGCCTGAGATAGTTGATCATGCTGAAGCTCTCGATCAGGCCAGCCACAGCTCGGTTCAGTCGTCGGAAGCTAGCACCCTTCATCACTTGTTCCTTCTCGTCAGGTGCCTTGGACTCGTCATCTTCGGCTTCGGGACCCTCTGTAACACGACGCGCACGCTCGATGGGGTCATCGTCGAGCAGACCTACGTCAGGTGTAAGGAAGCGCTTGAGATCCTTCTTCTTTACTTGGCCCTTAACAAGGTCCATCTTGGACAGGATGTTTATATGTGGCACTTCGAGCATGAGCATGGCACTCATGGCACTAAGGGTACCAGAGAAAAACTTTGCTCGATCGACGACGAATGTGGCTTCGAGGAGATAGACAGCGGCCATGCGGATGTCAAGAGAGCCCGGCTGGGACAGAAATTTGACAAGAGCCGGTAGAATAGGGACATGGGTGTATAATTCGATCTGACCGGGCATGTCGAAGATGATAAGATATTCTTCGGTCAGACTGTCGAGAGCTTCGGTCAACCAGTCAAGGTTCTCCATGAGGAACTCGAAGCAATAGATCAGGCCACCGTTAGGCCCGAGGCCAACTTCCTCCATAGCATCTTTAAGAGAAATAAGTTCTTTGATGTCAAGATCTGGTTCATGCTCAAATGATTCGGCGGCAGGGTCAAGGTTAATGTAAAAGGCGGAACGGCGATTAAGATTAAGATGAGTGATGAGGGCGGCGCAGAAAGTTGACTAGACGCGACAAAATGCAAAGTTAGTTGGGGCGCATTAATGTTTAGGGAACAAAACGCGATCGAGGACAGCATGATGACAACGATGATGCAACAAGAGACGGTATTTTAGAACAGAAAAAGCAAAGGGCAATTCCACGTACCTTGCCGGCGCCCGCAGGGCCCATGATCATGGCACCGAACTTGCTCATGTTGAAGATACTGAAATGCTGTACGTTGTTCGTTTTCTTTGTCAAGAACAAGGGCCAAGATCGGATTCGATAGCTCCAGGATCGAGGCTACAGATAGCTACAGATTCTAAGCAGCCCCGCTTGCTTGAGACAGAGGGGGGCCGATGCGGCAGAAGAGTATGACAGAAAGTGATAGCTCCGCACCGTATAGCCAAGGCTCAACGTCGGTTATATCTCGTTGTTTCGAAACCGATGAGGATTACACTTCTCGATGTGGTGATGGTGACGAGCTTGTGAGAGGTAGTGAATTTTGACATGTTCTGGAAGGGAACCTGAATGAATGGTGGGGTAAAAAGTTCGGATTTTTCCACACCTTCTTTTCCTCGACGTTTTTGCCCCTCCTGCTCCGGCGCCATAAAAAAAAGTCGTTTCTCAGCCTCTTTTTCGTTTTTGGCCTCTCGTGTGAAGCTATCTGCCCCGCCATTACTGTACACGTACTAGGTTATCATGCCTAGACTCGGGGCCATCATGATAACTTTTTTACGTTAGTAGAGACACCTCTTCATTGATTGACATCCACTCGACTATCTTCTCCGGATGCTGGTGCACGTGTATGAAAATCAGTCAGGGAATTGGTCAAGGATTATTCTTGAAGGGATTGCGGCTGATAGGTTCGGCAACTCATGGCCCATTGTTCCTACAGCCGGATATCCCAACTTAGATGAGGGGATTGACGGGAAGCGGGGAGACGAGTACGAGTGAGGACGGATTGCAACTACATTGATGAGCTCGGGTTAGCGAGATGGTGCAAGAAAAGCGAGATTAACAGGCAGAGTTAAGACCTCAACAACTCAACCTAGGAGAACCCTATGCTCAGACTTAGACTACCTCAAGTCATTGAGACTTAGGAATACATTTCATTAATTATTCGTAAAAGACGAAAAGGCATTCCATAATCAGCACTGGAAACGAACATCATATGTTTTCTTGTATTCCGAACACTGGCAGGCACTTTCTGCAACTGACGGTAGGTGCGATGGCGCAATACTGCCGCAAATTTCGGCTTCCGAAGAACGTGCCTTTTCTCTCTTTTCCCAGTGTCATTTACCCCTCCATCGCCAAGGGTAGCGGCCACCGAAAGCCTGCCTCTGCGATAAGCACTGTACCTGTCGTTCACGCTACTTCCCCATACTAATACAGGTACCGTCTTATGACTTCGGACCCTGTAGACTTGGACAATCGCGACCGAGGGCCGTTCAACAGAAAAAAAAAAGAGCAGGCAGTATTTTTTTGTCGATCCCCACCTTTTCATTAAGAGAAGTCATTGTACTGTAGCATTGGGCAACATCTGATGGGTACATTGAGATTGTAGTTATATGGGCGTAAACTGAGTCATTGCACAAGTCGCGAGTAAGCTCATCCTGCCAGTTGTCTACAAAATCTGGAAGAAAGGACGAAAGAAAAAACTGCCCGAGCCCAGGTGCCTACATAAATCTCTCCGACCTTTTGGTAAGGAAAATTCCCACCCCCCACTTCGCTCATAATAAAGCCTGCAACAACGTATTCGCACATCCCCCTCCTTCCCGCCTTTTTCTTTAAGGTACTACTACCTGCCGCTCCCGCTTCGAATCTTTTTCTGCTTTTCCCTTCTTCTTCTTCATCCTACTTCATCCCTCTTCAGCGCCTTCTTTCTTTGGTATGTCCCGGTTCCAATTGCTCTTCATTGTCGACTTGTTCTAACATTCAGTCTTTTCAGTGACCTCAACCCCATCGTCACCAGATAAACAGACTTGTCCGGGTCTGCCCAGCTTTAGCCGTTACCTCTCTCTCTCACATCTTTCTTCTTCTTCACCTAATCCTCACAATGTCTGCTACCAACGGCACCAACGGCGTTCACGCCGAGCTCTCCTCATGGAAGCACTACAACGAGGGTTCTTTCCTCTTCACTGTATGTCTCTCCCGACCCCCCCCCCCCTTGCGCAGCTCACATCTGAGCGATCCCTTATCGGATCTATCAATGTGACCTTGTACCAAGGTCTTATTATCCCGCAGTCCAGTCACTGACAATCAGCCAGTCCGAGTCCGTCGGCGAGGGTCACCCCGACAAGATCGCTGATCAGGTTTCCGACGCTATCCTCGATGCTTGCCTTAGA